AGAGTTTTGAATTTGAGTCATTTTCAAGATTTTTTTTGTGGATTTTTGAAAGTCAGTTATTTTTCTTGCCGCGTTTAACGCAAGTTTTAACCCAAAAATTGGTTCCTGCCAAACCAGAGGAGGCAAAGTTTTGGCCTTTGCGGTGTTTTATGCAGCAAGTTCTCCTCTATAATGCAGGAGAGTTTTAAATTTGTGACATTTTCAGAATTTTTTTTGCGAATTTTTTCTGTCGCGTTTTTCGGAACTTTTAACGCAAGCGTTTATTCATATTCATACTAAACCAGTAGAGGCAAAGTTTTGGAAGAAGGAAGTTCAGTTTAACGCAATTTTTAATCCAAATATTTATTCCTGCCAAACCAGTAGAGGCAAAGGTTTGGTCGCAGACGCGTTTTAATTTTTGTGCCATTTTCAGGATTTTTTGTGAATTTTTGAATTTCAGTCGTTTTCCTTTGCCGCGTTTTACGCAACTTTTAGCGTAAAAATTGATTCCTGCCAAACGAATAGAGGCAAAAATTTGGCCGTTGCAGTGTGTTATGCAGGAAAGTTTGCTTTATAGTACAAAAGGATTTTAACTTTGAGCCATTTAGAGGATTTTTTTGCGAAGTTTTGGAGTTCAGTCGTTTTTATTGTCGCAACTTTTAACGCGCAAAAATTGATTCCTGCCAAACCAGTATAGGAAAATTTTTAGTCGTTACATTGTTTCATATAGAAAAGTCTACTTTATAGTGCATAAGAGTATTGAATTTGTGACATTTTACGGATTTGTTTGAACATTTTTGAAGTTTTTCTTGCCGCGTGTTACGCAACTTTTAACCCAAAAACTGATTCCTATCAAACCAGTAGAGGAAAAATTTTGGTTGCTGCAGTGTTTTATGCGGGAAAGCCAGCTCTATAGTGTCAGAAGGTTTTGGATTTGTGCCATTTTCAGGATTTTTTTTATGAATTTTTGAACTTCAGCCATTTTTCTTGCCGCGTTTTTCGGAACTTTTAACTCAAAATTGATTCCTGCCAAACCAGTGCAGGTAAATTTTTGGTCGTTTTCTATAGTGTAGATGCGTTTTAAATTAGTGCCATTTTCAAGACTTTGTTGAGAATCTTTCAAGTTTGGTCGTATTTCTTGTAACTTGTGGCCTTATTTATATGAAATATGAATAAATGCAGATGTTCTTAGTTTTTCGTTTTTTTTTATTAAATATTGAAGAAAACATTGCATTTTCAAATGGAAAACCTGAAGTTCACTAGTGAATAGTTTGCCCAATTACAACAAATGCATATTATCCGAATCGGCCAACACACCGAAACTCTATTAGTATAAATTAAAAATTCTCCCTAATGTATCGGCATTGAATTGAACTCGAAACGACACACAAACAAAATTATAGGTGTTCATCTATTATGGGCAAGCGCATACATAAAATATTGTCAGAATGAGACTCATTATTAAAATAGCTTTCAAACCATTATAATCGCCATGAAGAGAGAACACATTGGCTTTCAATTTAAAATGGATAATGTCATTTCCAGGCGTGTTAGTGTGGATGTAAATTTATCGTTCCATACCAAGAATGACAACTTGAATGGTCTGGTAAACGCTTGTTTTTTATTATCGATCGGTTTGCTTGGAAATTGTTCAATTAAATGTCTTGTTTGAGTTTTCAACGGAAGTTTTTAGTCTATGAGTGCAAGTTTTCAATGTTTCTGCTGATTATTCTGGTTTTAGTTTAGTAGAAATCACATTTCCATTGCTCAAACTTGGCTCAAATAGCTTGATTTGAGTTGTTTGAAGAGCGTTTTATTCGCGTTGTGTATTTTTACAACATTTTTTGTCCAAATCTTCCCCTTCAACTGCGATGTTTGCTTCAGGGGTCAGTATTTTGCTGTCCAAAGGCTCGTGGCCTCGCGATATTTTTGCCTCAGCTTTTCTAGGTACGATTTTAGATTTCTTAGTTTTTATTTTTAAGTATTTTTAATACTCATAGTCATTCTTTATGCAGATAAATACAAATATTTGCTAACTTTTATGGTCCTTCGAGCCGGTTCTTAGGCGGTGTGTTTCTTAGGTGTGGCGCTTCCGTCGCAAGATTCGCGGTTGCAATCAATTTTATTCTGTTGTTGATTCTACTAGTAAAGACTGTAACCACTGTAGTTCACATTCTTCAAAAATAGTGCTCAATCAGATATGAAAAGTTACTGAAAGTAGAAAGTTCTCTCTCTGCATTTTGATCTCTTGAATCTTCTGGTAAGTAAGTAAGTAAATCTTGATGGATTAACACAGTAAACTGGTCAGGAAATATTTGCAAATTTTTCAACGATTGTTTTTAATTCGTTTGATGATTTTGAAAAAATCGCTATTAAAACGCAGATTACAAGCTGCAATTGCTTACTCTCAATTAGTCTGATATTGGAAAAAGCCGTTCTTTTTTTTTTAAAGTTTATTTTTTATTTGGTTTTTTACAACTTAAATAAATCGGGGGCAAAATTTTTGAAATTTAGCACCGTTTTTTCAGTCCATAAAAATTCCACTTTTTCCGTATCGTCAGGGGCGGATCCAGCTTTAAAGTCAGGGGGGGTTATGGAGAAAAAATACAGTCTTCTGTTATCTATGAAATTAGAAAAATGATCGTCGTTTTGTGCAAGGGTGGCGCAAGATTATTGCAAAATTTCATGTTTT